TCCTTCTCCTCCTCCTCCTCCTCCATTCTCCTCCTTCTCCTCCCTCCTCCCTCCTCCTCCTCCTCCTCCTCCTCCTCCTCCTCCTCTTCCTCCTCCATCCTCGAGTTCCTCCTCCTCCTCCTCCTCCTCCTCCTCCCCCTCCTCCTCTTGGATGGGTGGCCTCGGATGGCCATCTTGGAGCCACCTTAGAGCATGTTGGGAGCCATTTCGAGGCAGCTTGGGCTATCTTATGCCATCTCTCTCCCTCTTGCTCTCTCTCTCTCTCTCTCTTTCTCTCGCCCCCTAGGGGCCACGTAGCGAGTGAGGGATGTGTCGACAATTGGTGCGGGGGGCGCATGCGGACTTTGGCACTGGCTCCTCTGGTGGAGCTCCCTGCGAGGGGTCTGCCGAAGTGGGTGTGGGGGACGCATGTGTGCGGTGGCACTGGTGCTTTCGGTGGAGCTCCCTAGGGCCACGCAACGGGTGAAACGTGTGCCAAACTGGGCGTGTGGGACGCATGCGGGCGGTGGCACTGCGCTTTCGGTGGAGCTCCGTATGACGCCACGCAACGTGTGAGGGGGCCTTCGGCGAAACTCACTAAACGTGTCAGGGGGGACGATGCAATTGGTAGGGCGGACACATGCGGGCGGTGCCGCTGGGACCTTCGGTGGGGCTCCCTATTGGGCCACGAGGAGTGTGGGGAGTGCGCTGAAATGGGCGGCGCGGACACATGCGGGCGGCGCCACTGGGACTGAATGTCCATGAGACCACGCTGTTAAGCGGGTTGCCGCAACCAGTGGCGCGGACGCATGCGGGCGGCGCCACTAGGACCTTCGGTGGAGCTCCCTAGGGGGCAACGAATCGTATGAGGGGTGTGCGGAAATGTGTGAGGGTTGCGGGAGGCGGGTCGTCATCATCGCCGTCATCGTCGTCATCATCATTGCTATCATCATCACGATTATCACCAGTGTTGTCGTCATCGTCATCGTCATCATGGGCATCAACACCATAATCGCAGTACTGTCAATCACCATGATCACCTCTATCACCTTCGTCATCATCGCTATCAGCATCACCTTCCTTACCACCACCATCATCGCCGTTATCGATATCGTCATCGTCGTCATCATCATCATCAGCAGCAGCATCATCATCATGATCCTCCTCATCACCATCATCATCGTCGTTTTCGTCGTCGTTATCGTCTTCATGTACATCATCGTCACCATCATCATCATCTGCAATTAATTACAATTCACAAACAATGCAAAGACACAACAGAGACATCCACAGACACGCAAGACATCTACAGACATCCGCAGACATCGAGATATACCCAAAACTGAGTGAAGTGACCTTCCTTCCGGAAGGTGCGGAAGGTGGAGGGCGAGGGAAGGGACCCCCTTTCCGTTGGGGAGGGTCTCAGTGTTCCTCCATGGTTGTACAGTTTTTCTTTAGGTTGTCCTTAGGTTCCCATGGGCAGTCGAGATTGAACGCATGGAACAGCCGGGCCTCGTTCCTCATTGAGGGCTCCCTACGACAGCGTCTCGACTGTATGCCATCAACTGTTTGCTTCCCGAGTGGCGCCCTCCCCCGAGGAGCGGAACTACCACATCTTCTACCAGCTCTGCGCGGCCGCCTGCCAGGGCGCGCCCGGGGTGCCCGAGGACGGGGGGCGGCGACGTGGCACCAAACCGTGCACCACTTCCGGTCTGTGGTCGTTGGTCGGGTCCCATGGGCCGGGGATGGGCGTGCTTTCGGGGGTCGGGAGCCTCGAGACGGGGGTCAGTGCAAACGGGGGTCAGCCAGAGCGCCCCGACCTTGCAGGATCCTGCAGGGCCAGGGTCGCATTGACCCGGGTTTGGGTGCAGGATCCTGCCGGATCCTGCAGGATCCTTCGCATTGACCCGGGTTTGGGTGCAGGATTTTGCAGGATCTTGCAGGACTCTGCAAGGCCTGACTGACCTGGGTCTGGATTGACCCGGGTCAGCAGGTCCCCGAGGGGGCGGAAAAGAGGGGGGTGATGATTATGGGGGGGTGGATATCATAGCGGGGGCCATCATATTTCCCCAGATCTCATGGCGCCTCTTCTTGTTTCATCACGGCCCTGGCCCCCCCGCTGGGCCGCGCACATGCCGCCGGTCATGATTTGCACCCCCCCCTCTTGGACACCCCCCTCTTGGCCGCTCCCGACAGGGCCGGGGATGGGCGTGCTTGGTCGGTCGGTAATCTTGACGATCGCACGGGGTACGGAAAGAACGGGCACGACGCCCAATAGCAGTTCGCTGTTCGTGCCGCCGCGGACGTATCTCTCTGAAGACGAAACGTTTCCTGCCCAACAGCGGCCGCTGTTGTCTTTGGACAGCATTTGTTGTTGGGGATCGTGCCAATTTTTCCCGTACCAACTTCGGGCGTCCCGAAGTAATGAGCGCGTGTGTTGGCGATAGCGGGCGTTGCAGGGGGGCGGTAACGTCACGCTTCGCGCCAGCGCCGTCTGGGAAGGTCAAGGAGCAGTCAGGGGGGGTGGGGCGGGCATCGCGCAAGGATCCAAAATATGTCAAACGGGTTCCGTAGAAGGGGATATAGAAACGGGCACCTTCCACTGTGGGCTGTTCAGAAGCCTCGTGGGCCCTCTTACACGGCCCTTGACTGACACCCCCTTCGTGACCCCCCTCCCTTTGATTGACACCCCCCCTTTTATTGACCCCCCTGGCCCGTCTTGGGGCGGTTTGAGATTCCCGGGGGGGGGGGGGGAAAGAAAGGGTGGACCCCATGAACCCCCCCCCTCCCCCCCCCTACCCCGGCAGAGCCACCCCGGCCCCCCCCCAGCAGAGCTGAAGCTCAGGTTGTAGCTTTCTTAAACTCACACGCCGGATCGGCGGATTTGTAGAATATGTTTGGACTAGATTGATTTTCCGTCCAAAATCCGCCTGTAGAACTCGCCGAGCGCGTTCCACTACTCGCCAAGTGCCTACTTGCAAGCGTCCGAAAAACATATGTCTGTTTTGATGCTTTTTGTCGCAGATCCCCCGCGGGGACTCCGGGCCATTTGCGAGCAGGAAGCGCTCGTCTAAGGATGACATGCCCGACCGAAGTCAAGGTGTCAGAGCCCCGAATCATCAGGGATAACTCGGGTCAGGGTTAACTCGGGTTCGCTTTCCGGGAATCCGAACCCGAGTTACCCCGGACCCGAGTTACCCCAGATAATTCGGGCGTCCAGAGCCCCACATCATCTGGGGTAACTCGGGTCAGGGCTAACTCGGGTTCCTCTTTTCGGGTATCCAAGCCCGAGTCACCCCGGACCCGAGTTACCCCGGATCGCTCGGGCGCCCAGGGGTGGAGCGATCCCCGCGGTGTGGCGAGAGCCGGCGCCGAAGGCCCGCACGCCACGGGCGGGCCGCGCACGGGCGGGGTGTCCGTCTCCCACGAGGGCCTGGAGCTCGGCTCCGCCCTGGACTTCGAGTACACCCAGGAGACCGCCCTTGCTCGGGCCTCGGTGGAGGACAAGGTACTCCAGATTTCGTAGTAAAGGGAGGGGGGTCTCCTTTCGGGGGGGGGGTCTCTTCCAGGCTATCTTGGAGGGCCTGGGGGGGTCTGGCGACGAGGTTTGGGAGGGTCCTCCCACGGGGGAGGTCTGAAATGGCTTGTCTTGGAGGGTCCAGACCCCCTCCCTTCTATTACGAAATCTGGAGTACCCATACCTCTACACTTATGCCGAAACTCGAGGGCTTTCACGTGTCGGGCCCTGGGAGACTCTCGTCCGACACTGTTTCGACGCTCTTTCGACACTTTTTTCTGGGTGCTCGAAATTATGTCTGGGCTGCGGTTCTTGAGTACGACGGGAGCAGCATGCCTCTACACTTCGCCCGTTTTCCCCTTCTTGGGCCTCCTCGGAGGCCCTCGTCGCCACCGCTGGATTCGCCTCGAAATTCTGGTCAGAGCGCACCCCAGGAGAGGTCCGGGGAGTAGCGGTATCGGTACCTTTTGGCTTCCCCAGGGTCCTGCGTCGAAAGCCGAATTTTGCGGTCGGGCGGGGTAAAAGATCGAGGTCGGTTCGCGTTTGGTAGCTTGATGTTCTTCGTGCTGGTGGGATGCTCTTGTGCATTCTTGGGGAGGGTGCCTTCGGATGTGTTGTGTGTCTTGGCCGACGCAGGGTCTCATGTTATTGACCGATGTTCTTGTGTCCTAATGAACAGGTATGGCTGTACCGTCGCCGACCAAAGATGCAGCAAACGCTTCCGTATCCATTTTTGGCTCAAGCAAGCCATTTCGAGCCAAGCCAGTTTTGTTCAGGGCTACAGTTTGACTTAAGCTTACTTGCTCGAGGCAGGCGTCACTCTTTACCTCTCCGCGCTTCTCCCTTTGCGCAGCCATGGCCTTCATGGCGAGAGCTCTTTCGCTCGCGGGCCTGTTGGCTACCGTGAAATCCCAGGAATATGAAGAGGTTGTGCCACCAGCAACCGGAGATAGTTCTACATGCGCGCAACTCGCTACAGCTGGGGAGTGGCAAGATATGACGGAGGCCGAGTGCCAGCAGTATGCCGCGGGGGTTACGGATGCCACGTTTGAAGGGACAGGTGGTGTAAACGGTAATATTCCATGAGGGTGCACCACCGCCGATTTCAACGACAACAAATACTACTATAAGTCATGTGGAGACGGAGTAGCAACGACAAGCAGTGAGTACCACCACATCTGCATCAGGACCACGCCCACCAGCTCAGTCACTTGCCAGACCATGACCTGCCTTGAGAGGTTCGTGTATTGGTGCCAGCAGAGCACTGTGGGCTTCGGCTCCAACAATAACGAGGCGCCCGCGAACTCTCCGAAGGACATCCTCGTTGCCGAGTGCCCCGACTGCACTGGCGCCGCCAACACGGACACTTGCCCAACGAATCTTCGCTTGTACGATGCCGCTCCAGAGGCGGAGCCGACCTCGGAACTCGACAAGACGTCCGTTGCGGTGTTAGTGCCGCTCGGATTGGTGTCCGCTCTCGTCGCTATGGGTGCGGTCGTCGGTGTCTCCCGCATCCGCGCGTCCAACCAGCCAGTGCTCGTGGAGAACGAGCAAGATTTGCTGCGCGAATGAACGAGTACGCCTGCAGCTCTAAGGACGAGGACAAAGAGCTCGCCGAGTCCTACATGCTTTTCTGAGATGCCTCCCCGCCTGACATTCGCAATCGCTTTGCGCCAGCTCAGCGATCAAAGTTGCGTATCTCTCTCTCTCTCTCTCTCACTTTGTGGTTTTTTCATGCCCCGACGGCCCTGTCGGCCAGGGTCACGCTGCGCACAAAAAAAAAATGCAGCAAACGCTTCGATGGGCGGCCAGGGTAGGATTAGGAATCCGTCGAACGCGTGGCGAAATCTGAGCCTTGCCCCTGCCTCCCATCGTTTCAGGAAAATCGATGGTGGGTGGGGGTAGGGTTCGGATGTCGCCACCTATCGGGTCCGGCGACAACCCAGGATACTCGACGCCTCCCAGATAGGATTCGAGTAGATGGTGTCGGAGGTTCGCTCCGCATCGGAGATGCATCGGCGATGGCGCCTCGATGCGGAGCCCGGTTATTCCATGCTTCCCAAGTGGGGTCCGAGTGTATGGGGTCGGAGGTTCCGTCCACATCCACAATGCATCATCAATGAGCCTCGATGCGGAGCTCCGTTATTCGAGGCTCCCCAGTTGGGGTCCGAGTCGATGCGGTCGCAATGCCGTTCCGCATCGGCGTTGCATTGGCGACTCGGCTCGATGCGGAGCCCGATGTTCTCCGCGCCGACGTCGCCGATGCATCGCCGACGTCGCCCGTGCATCGCCGATGCATCGGCGATACATCGGCGATGCGGCGCGATCCTCCGACCCCATCTGTACTCGGACCCCATCTAGGATGCATCTGGCTCTGGTTATCATGCCCGCCCGACCCTCCCACCCAGAGAGCCTGATATTGACGGTTGCACGAGGCCTGCAAGGGGGTACGCAGTTCTGGTGCGCACGGGCAATTTTGGAGGCTGACGCAGTTCTGGTGCGCACGGGCAATGTTTGAAGCTGCCCAAAGCGAAAGGCTTCGGTCATCGGCTGGCCCCCCCCCCACAAGATAGCCCCCTCCCAGATAGCCTGGGCTATCGTCGACAAATATCGTAGCACCCCGCGGATGTGGAAAAGAGTGAAGGGCGGTGGGGACGTTCTCAGTTTGCGAGATTCTGGAGAAGCCCGCCGCAGGCGCCAAATTTCACACATGTTGCAACGAGCCCGCCGCAGGCGCAGATTTTTTCTTCAAGCCAATGTGGATCGGTCGCGGGATGGGTCGCGGGTGGGTCGCAAGTGGGTCGCGTGTGGTTCGCGGGTAGGTCGCGGATGGGTCGCGGGGTGGGTCGCGGGTGGGTCGCGGGTGGGTCGCGGGTGGGTCGCGTGTGGGTCGCGGGTTGGGTCGCGAGTGGGTCGTGGGTTGGGTCGCGGGTGAGTCGCGTCTCGGGGTGGGTCGCGGGGTGGGTGGCGGGGTGGGTCGTGGGTTGGGTCGCGGGGTGTGTCGCGGGGGGGTCGCGGGGGGGGACGACAACAAACAACAAGAACAACACGAACAACAATCACAACAGCAGCAACAACAACAATGATAACAAACAACAACAACAACAACAACAACAACAACAACAACAACAACAACAACAACAGCAACAACAACAACAACAAACATAATCCTCACCACGGATGTCCACTTCAGCCACGCACCCAGGGACAATGAATGATTGTTCGGCCCTCTCACTCTGATAAAACTGACTCTCCAGATCTGCGACCAGATCGAGGGCGTGGACGACGTGAGGGAGTTCTCCGACGTGGTGGCATGCATGGCCAGCCTGGGCTTCTCTGGCGAGGAGCGCGAGTCTGCCCTCCGCATCGTGGCCGGCGTGCTGCACCTCGGCAACCTGAGCTTTTCGCCCTGCTCCCGCGACAACCAGGACTTGGGCGGCGCGCCCATGGGGCGCAGCGTCGGACGTGGCGGGGACGAAGATCAATCCGTTCCGGAGCTCTTTGAGAAGGCCGCGGCGCCCGAGACATCCTGCACAGCCGCCAGATCTCAGAGATCTTCGATTTATCCTAACCTGATGTTATCCTCGTCCTGGCTTCGTCTCAGGGCGGCCTCCCTCAGAGTCGGGTGGCAAGAATCTGCATGAACATGGGAGGGCCGCGCGGGTTTTTGGGATATGCTCTGGAGCCCCCTTGCGGCGCCTCCAGCGCCGCCCCTGGCGCGCTCCGCGCGCAGGGGAAGGGGGTTCAGCGCAGATTCAAGCAATCCGCGCGGGCCTCCGAAAGTTGACAGTGGAGGCCCATGCCAAGAAGCACCCTGCTTGCCTCCAGGGTGCCCTTGGTTTCTTGGGTCTCGATGGTTTTTTTGCAAAGAAGGGCGTGGCGTTCCCACGCAAACAACCAATGAACGTCCTGGTGTCTCAGGGTTGGGTGTCTTGTTGAAAGTTTCTTGTGGCCGAGACCTTACTGTATATTCATGCAGGTTGTGCCCCTGCATCAGAGGGCTCAGGAGGCCTCCGGTCTTCTCGGCAGTGTTCGGGGCCTCCTCGTCGATGTCCCTCGGCCGCGGTGTCTCTCCTCGGGCCCTCGTTGGTTGGCCTTTTTCGGGCCATCGTTCGGTCCCGTTGCTGCCTGGGACTTCGCGCTTGAAGCTCACCCACGTCCAAACAAGTTCTTGGCCTTCCCCGACGACAGGGGGGCGGCTTCTCAGAAGGCCGTAGGGCCAGGTCACTCCCGAGGTCGCGAAGGTCAGCGGGCTTGGTGCGTCGCGGTCTCGGCCAGAGCAGTTGCCCTTCCCGAGTGGGGCGGCGCGACGGCGCGCAGATTACGCGCGCGTCGCGCATCGCGGGCCGCGATGCGCGAAGTACAGTCGGAACCGATGGTAAGGATGGGCGACCTTCCCAAGGGTACAGTAGGGGTCTTGAAGAAGGAACCCTTTTCGTTGGGGAGGGGCTCGGTGTTCCTTGATTGTTTCCTGAGGTTCTATAAGAAATCGAGGTTGAACTTATGGTAAAAAGGGGCCTCGTTCCTTATTTGGGGTTCCTTAGGTCAACGCCCCGACTGTACCCCGTGCATCCCTGCCTCTTCGGCCCATCCTGAACCGCTCTCGACGGCCAGCCCCGCCTGAAGGGCCTCGACATGGGCGTCCGGGGGGCTCGCGTCCTCATCGCGCATCCCTGCTATCAGTGTTTACTGGGTGGTGACTCCGGCAGAGCCTCGGAGCCGGGGGGAGGAGAAGCGACACCGACACCACCACCACTCGGGGGGGCCACCTCCAGCGAGGAGGTCCACGACGCCTCCCTGGGCCTCTACTTGGGGAGGGAGACCACACCACCCAGGGGGGGCCCCCTTGCTCCTCCCGCTCGTGGTCCCTGGCGGTGGTGGTGTCGCTTTTCCTCGTTCCTATCGGAAGCGCCCCATCTGCGAGCTAGAGGGTTGCGCCTTTCTGCGACGGGATTTGTTTCCATGGGTCCACGGCTGATGTTTCTTTTGAAGACTTACGTGCCAGGTCATTTGGCTGCGTGACTCATCCCAGGTCTCGATGTCTCGGCGTGAGTGTGTGTGTGTGTGTGTTTGTGTGTAAGTGTGCAAGTGTGTAAGTGTGTAAGTGTGTAAGTGTGTATGTGTGTGTGTGTGTGTCTTGGCGCGCCGCCGAAGGACGGCGTGGCCATCTCCGACGGGCAGCAGGCGGCCCTCATCTGCACGCTGTTCGGGCTGCAGGAGGAGCAGCTGCGCGGGACCATGGAGAATCACACGCTCGTGGACCTCAGGGGAGGAAAAGGGTACCCATACCTCTACCCTTCGGCCGGGTTTTCCCCTTTTTCGGCCTCCTCGGAGGATCTCGTCGCCACCGCTGGATTCGCCTCGAAATCCTGGTCAAACGCATTCCAGGAGAGGTCCGGGGATGGTACCTTTTGGTTTCCCCAGGACCCCCTCACGAAGAAGACCATCCACAGGCTGCACGACCTGGAGAGTGTCTGCTGTTGTGTCGGATCGAGCGTCGAGCGGAGCGGAAAAGGATCTGCGTGTTTCCCCAGGGGCGTTTCGTGCCAGATCGCCTGCGGTGCAGCATCGAACGGGCATCGTCGACGATGGGACAGAAGGCGGAGTGAAGAGATGCAGTGCACAGTGGATTTTGCGTTGAACCCCCCTTGCACACTGCATCTCCCAGGCCACACGACCTGAAGAGCGCCTCCTTCACCCGGCACTCGATGGCCAAGGTTCGAAAGACAGAGCTGGCGTAAGCACAAATGTTCGAGGCCCGCGCGGATTTCTTGGGCCGACTCAGAGGAAGGGAAGATGCCGATACCGCTGCCCGTCCCTGGTCGCCACGATTGGATTCTCTTTCAGATCGTTCTCCAGGGAGTCCGTATTGGTACGTCTGCGCCCTGCAGTGCCAGCGTTGGCCCAATAAATTTGTGCGGCGTTGCGAGCGTGCATATTTGTGCACTTCTTGGTTTTCGACAGGTCGTGTACGCCAGGCTGTTCGACTGGCTCGTGTGGCGCATCAACGAGAGCATGTCGAGAGATCATGGGAAAGCCAGGAAGGACCTGAAGCGCATCGGACTGCTCGACATCTACGGCTTCGAGGTGTTCGACTGCAATTCGTTCGAGCAGCTGTGCATCAATTTCGCGAACGAGAAATTGCAGTGCCACTTCAACAAGCACATGTTCACTCTGGAGCAGGAGTTGTACAGCAGCGAGGGCATCACCTGGAGCCACATCACATTCCAGGACAACCAGCCGATCATCGACACCCTGGACAAGAAGCCGCTCGGGCTCTTTTGCCTGGTAGACTCCGAGTGCATGATGCCTAGCGCAACCGACACGACCCTGCTCGGGAAGGTCCACAACACGTTCAAAAACTCCAGGATAGTGTACAAGCCCTCCAAGTTCGCATCGCCAGAGTTCGCGGTAGCGCACTACGCCGGGGAGGTCGTGTACAACGTCGCCGCCTCGGCGCACTTCGGGCTCGGCGGCGCTCCACTGCGTGCGTCTTCGACTGCTTCCTCCCCCGAGCTGTGCTTGCACGTAGGGCCTCTTACTTGCCTTCCAAGGTACCCGAGCTCCAGTCTCGATCCGGCCAGCTTGAGGCCGCCTATCGCCGTAGTCCGTCGCCACGCAGCTGATTCCTTTGCTTTGCCCTTCATTGCGTTGCCTTGCTTCGACTTGTTGTTCATGGTTTTGCAGTGCTTTCCTCTGCTTTGCATATTTGCATGACTTGCATGCCTTTGTCTTGGTTTGTATGTCGTTGCATTGTGTCGTATTGCTTTTGAATGCAATATGTTGCATTGTTTCACATGGATTCGCGTTGCGCTGCATTGCGTTGCATTGCATTGTGTTGTATCGTATCGCGTTGCATTGTTCTGCATGTCTTTGCAATGATTTGCATGTATGTGCCTTGTGTTGCGTTGTGTTGCATTGCGTTGCATTGTGTTGCGTTGATTCGCATTGCTTTGCATCGCTTCGCACCACATCGAATGATGCACATGAACTGCAATCTCTATTTAGGGTCAACGCCGGCTAACTTTATGCTACCTCCCCAGCGCCGGCGTATGATGGGCTGCACGAAGACACCTTGCCGTTAGAGTTTGAGTGGGAGAGGCGGTCGGTGCGTGGTTCAGTGCGGTGCGGCAGTGCGATGTATGTTTTCGGTCGACAGCATCGCGAAGCGCTGTTTTGCTGGACCTAAACGCTGTTTGCTGGACTTCGGCTGTGTTTTGTGTTCCGTGGTAGCAGGGCGGTACAGGAACACAGGTTGAGCAACACGAAGCACACACACTGAACACAAAGCACAGCGCAGCGTTCAGGTCCAGCCCTGCATTTGATAGGGGATGTTCGAGGAGGGACGAGGAGTCGAGCACTCAATCGATCGGATGGCCGTCGTAGTTTCACCAAGGGCGTCCCAGACGGTCCCTTATGTTGGTCGTGCCGAGGGCGGCTCCTCCAGAGGCCCCCCGTCTGCGCGCAAGAGAGCCTTCTGGGGGGAGGCGCATCATGGTGGCTCCCGTGCCCGAAGCAAGTGGCCATCTCGGGTGCCCTCCGTGGGCGCCACGGCTGCCCCAATACAGTGGTCCTCCTCCTCATCATCATCTTCATCCTCCTCCTCCGTTCCTCCTCCTCGTCCGTGTCCTTGTCCTCGTCCTCCTCCTCCTCCTCCTCCTCCTCCTCCTCCTCCTCCTCCTAGCCGCCGCCACGGCTGAAGGGCGCGGGACACGCGGCCCTCCTACCCTGTTCATCGCCCGCCAGGGGAGCAGCGCGCGATGCCCACTCGCCCGCGGGGCCCCAGAGGCCCATGATGGCGGCTCTCCTCCTGCTCGCGGCCGTCGGCTTCTCGCCGCGGGCGGCCGCCCGATCGTCGACAGGCGCTTGCCGCGCCCTCGGACGCATTCAGGAGCAAGAGCCGCAACCTGCTCCGCACACCAGGCTCTACGAATACATCCCTTTTTACCTGACGGGCTGCACCCGCGCGCAAGAGATCACCCGCGCGCACTACATGGGCGAGATCCTCTTCCCTGTGTTGAGCCGCCGCCCGACTCTGGACGGCCGCCACCGCCTCTTTTCAGCACGACTACCACTGGGAGCTCTCCTTCGGCTGGACCAACAAGAGCTTCGGGGGGAGCATCTTCCTACATCAGCGGTTTCGGCAGGCACACCTGCGTCTGATCTACCCTCCGCCCGCGGCGCTCTCGGGCCGCTGCGGCGCGACAGTGCAGCTCCTCGGACGTGCTCCTCATGGTTCGGCACCTCTCCGTGCCATCCGAGTCCTACTCATACCGCCAGGTGGCCCAGGCTATGACCATGATGGAGCCCGTGGGCAGTCGTCGCACGCCCTTCAGCGGGGCGGACCTCAGCTCGGCGACTCTGCGGACGAGACGTTTCTCGGCTCCACGTCCCTGCTCGTGCCCGACTTGCGGAGCGAGGTCGACAGTGCCGTGGGCACCTTCCTGGAGCTGGAGGGCCCCTCTGGACGTCTTTGGCAACGGTTCCTCTCGGACCACGACACCTTCTTTGTCAGCGGGGACATCTTCATAGGGACGCACGGACAATCTCGCAGGATCGACTTCTTCTACGCCCCGTCCGCCCTGGAGTCCCACACACGACAGCGCATGGCCCCCATGGGAGCTGGTCGCCGCCTCAACATATTGCACGATCGAGACCACCGCTCCTTCTACTCGGGCGACATCTTCAAGGCCCACGCGCAGCACACCTGGGACTACGACGCGATCGTGCTTCGTCGGGAGGGCGCCCTGGCCCTGAAGGCGCGCGACCTGCAGCAGGCGGTCACGTTCCTCCCCAAGATGGTGCGCCTGCACGCCCCGTTGCTCAGGGACCTAGCGGACTCGGAATGGATCAGCATCGTTACCACGCCCACGGCCACTACGATCGTCGCAGCTCGGGAAGCAGGCAAGATGTACGCAGAGGTGGCGCAGTCCCCCGAGGCGAAGCCCCAACTCACCACATTTGTACCTCGCCCACGCCGAGTCCAAGTACCCGTCGGCCTTCGTGGTGCAGGAGGCCCCGCAGGGGCACGTGCTCCCGCGTACCTTCCACCAGCAGTTCGTTTGCACGGAGACGGGCTCGGAGCTCTTCTCCACCTCAGGCTGCGCACGCGCCACAATGACCAGTACACCAGGATGCAGTTCGCTAGTGCGGACCAGATCACATGGAAGAGCGTCAACCCAGACGGCCCTCGGGAGACTTGTCTCGACGCTATGGGCGGCCGCCAGAAGATGAGGACGGACCACCTGGAATCGATGGCCCAGAAAATGCCAGACAAGTACCGCCAGATCCACTACGGCCAGAAGGGCTGACACGGGCGGCGGATCCTACGGAAAGAGATGGGCGACCTACGTGACGAAGTGAGTCCAGCAGCTTCGCTGTTGCACCAGGCCCCTCTAGTCGCTCTCGCCGCCCCTGGTCTCTAGGGCGCGCCGTCGGCCCCTTCTTAGGCCTGGTTTCTTTTTTTCCTTCTCGGGGCCTCTGGGGTGTCCAGGGAGCCTGCTCGGTGCTCTCCGCGCCGTCGAGCTCGGCCCCCAGGGGCCAGAGGGGTATCACCCCCCGCCCGCGTGCGTTTTACTGTATCCTGTCCTGCTCGGCTCGGACCCATGGTGATCACAGCTGCACGGCGCGCCCACACGCCTGACCTCGTTCGGTCCGAGGAGATCGCACGACTGTTCAGAGGTGTCCCCGAGCGATCTCTCGTTTCGTGAGCTCGAGGGGTGAGTGTCTTCAGACTCACAGCGCAATGCCGGGCCCATCCATCCATCCATCCATCCATCCTCCTCCTCGTCCTCCTCCCACTCGTCATGCCAAGAAGCACCCTGCTTGTCTCCAGGGTGCCCTGGGTTTCTGGGGTGTCGAGGGCCTTGCTGGAGAGCGCGGCGTTCCCGCACCAAAAAACAAGCGACGTCCTGGGATCTCAGGGTTGGGTCTCTCGTGGAAGGTCTCTTGTGGTGTGGTCGGGCCCCCCACTGTATCTTGGGTGCCCTCCGCGGGCGCTACGACTGGCCCAGGACTGCCCAGAGGAGGGGCCCACGATGGCGCTGAGGCGACTCGAGATGGCTCCGAGGGGCTGCTGGGCGCGCTGGCGTCCGGAGAGCCTGCAGGGGCCCTGGACGGCAGGCGCAGTCCAACTGCGCGCGTGTTCTCCGACAGGCCAGGCCGGTGCTTGTTTGTGTGTGAAGAAGACGAGCGCGAGTCGCCTGGGCCTCAAATTACGCCTCTCGTGCTTAGGGGGTGGTGTCCAGATATGCCCCGAGCACGACGCCCGCCCAAGAAGCTAGAACATGGCGGGGCAGCGACCTTGATGCGAGGATGGCAGGCCTCGTTAGAGCATTGGCAGGAGCGCGGCGTGGCAGGTCGTGACAGTACAGCGGCAGGACGACGGCGACAGGCAGTGGCACAGGGGGGCCCCGTGCGGGGCGCAGGGGCGACCCCTTCGGAGACCTCCAGATACACCCCGTAGGCCTTGTCGACATCTTCTGCAGCCTCGTGGGATTGGTGTCCCGCCTTTCCTGAGGGGAGGACCCCCACAGGGGGGTGCGACCGCCTATGATCTCTCGGGTGTCCTCGTGGGCCGTCTTGGGGGCCTCTTGGACCGTCTTGGGGATTCTTTGGGCCATACAAGGGGCCTTTTTGGGCCGTCGTGGGCCCCTGTTGGAAGCCTCTGGGGCAGTTTGGGGGCCATCTCGAAGGCTGCCTGGTCATGGGCCGCCCAGGGCCGAAAAATTGCGAGAACGGGAACATCTATCACAAACCATGGGCAAATCCAGTGTTTCGGCCTTGTGAGGGGGTCCTCTATGGGGCCCTTGCAACGCAACGCAATGCAACGTCCGACCGAGCAGCTCGGGGAGCGGCTCGCCCCCAAAATGAGGCGACCATACAGCTGACTACTGCGCACGCGCGGCAAACACACCCCTCCCATACGTTCACACATGACGTGTGGCCGTTGGTCACAAATTGCAAATGTTCATCCTCGAGAGCATTCCATGGACAACTCTTGCCTTGTCGCAGTGCTTCCTGCAACAAGAAACCTTTCGACGACAACAACTTACGCACATAATCAGTCCACCTCGTCCTGGGTCTGCCGTCTTGGGCCGTCAGATGTCCATCGCATGACAACTGCCGGCCACGAGCCAGGAACGCACAGACGCGACATCAGCCGCCATCGAGCTCTATCTACTGTTTCGGTCCATTCAGAAAAAGCCATCAAGTTTATTGCCGTTCTCATTTTGCGTTTGAAACGCCTGCCCGAATATTTCCAACTCTCTTGCTCCAGCTTCGAGAACCCCACAATTATCCGAAACATCTTGTTTCGAGCGGCTGCCAACCGCGAGCGATGTCTGCTGGTCATGCCCACAGAAGCATTGCCGTACACAGCTGCAGGAGTGGTCACATTTTCGAACAATTTCGGCCGAAGGTGCAACGATATGGTACCATTCGTAAGCGTCTGCTTGTTCGCGTGGAAACGACGTCAAGCAATCTGTAGTCGAGATGAGAATCCGCACGGCCGGCCAGATTGCCGCTGAACTTCCGGCCGAGGTATTTGTGGAAGTCGCGGCACGTCATGACAGGCAACGACATGTCGCCACACGGCACCACAATCGGAGCTTCATAATGGGATACATGTGGGTCGTTCGTGACAATTCTCGTCTTGGTCGCGTTCAAGCTGAGGCCTTGCTTCCCCATCTCTGCGGACAGCGTGGCGAGCATCTGCATTGCCTCTTCTGATGACCCTGCGTACAACAAGACATCGTCCGCGTACCTGATGTTGCTCAGGAGCTCGCCGGGGCCAACTCGCAAACCGCAGCTGGGACATTTCAATTTGAAGGCGCGCACCGCCTGCTCAAGCCCAGCGTTAGACAGCGAGGAGGATAGCACGTCGCCTTGCGACGCCGCGAGTCATATCAAACGCGTCGCTGTCCTGCACCTGGCCTGTCTGGTTCGCATACACGTCTGCTAACAAACGCAAGTATTCGTTAGGAACGCCCAGTTCTCGCAGAGCGGCAAACAGCATCGGATGTTCAATCTTGTCGAAAGTTTTGGGCAGATCCAAGTTGACGATCCACAATGACTTGCCGTACTCCCACGTCTTCGTGCAGATCTCTTCGAAAACCACGAACGCGTCGTCGACGGATCAGTGCGGTCGAAAACCGATTTGGTATTCATGTTGTGGACGGTCTATATGCTCGGGGCCGCCTGAAGGGGCCTCTTGGAGAGGAATGGTCGAAATGACAGTGCGTGTTCGCTCTCTTGGGCCCCTCTTGGGCCCCCGTGGAAGCTTCTTGGGGCGTCTTTGGGGCTTTTTGGGCCATCTTGGGGCTCTCTTGGGCCGTCTTGGGGGTGCTGTGGGAAGCCTCTGGGGCCGTCTTTTGGCGATCTTGGCTGCGCCTGGGGCCGGCCTGCAGCGCAGAGGCTAGAAGTCAGCGATGACGCGAAACACGTAGGAACAATTCATTGGACATCAGGGTGTTTTGCCTTCTGTGGCGCTCTTGACCGTCTCCAGAGAGCTTTCATGGGCTGTCCCGCAGGCCTTGTGGACCATGTCGAGGCCATAAGTGAGTCGGCTAGGGTGCAAATGGACCGTCTGGGGAGCGCGTGGAAGCGGTATCTAATAGCTTTCGCCCTATTCCGCCACCGTGCCTGGGCTGTGGGTTGATGGTCGTTGGGATGTCGTAGGAGGCCTTTTGGAGGCAGTTTTGAAGCCTCCTGGGTGCCGCTTTGGCGACTCTTGAAGCCTCTTCTGGGCCTCTTGGGGCATCTTGGGGGCCTCTTGGGGACCTGTTGAGCCTCCCGGGCGCGTCTGGGGGCCTCCTGGGGGCCTTTGGGGCGGAAGGCTCGTATCTTCAGTTCGTGTTCCCTCTCTTGGGTCCCTTTAGGAGCCGTCTTAGGGCCCTCTTGGGCCGTCTTGGGCGCCTCTGAGGCCGTCTTGGGGCCCTCTTGGGGCCCTCTTGGGCTATTTTGGGACCCTCTTTGAGGCCTCTTGTGCCGTCTTGGGGCGATATTTGGGCCTCTTGGGCCGTCTTGGAGCTTCGGGAAGCCCAGAGGCGAGAAATCCCCAAACCGCAAAAAAAACACCCTTGGGGACCTCTTCGGAGGCGTCTCGGAGGCCTCATGGGGCGTCTTGGGTGCTTATTTGGCCGTCGTGAGATCTGGGCATCTTGGGCATCTTGGGCATCTTGGGCAGATCTTGGGCAGATCGTCTTGGGCATCTTGGGCAGATCTTCTTGGCCTCTTGGGCCCCGGTCGTGTCTCCCCGCACGACCCTCAGGATCCTCCTCCTCCACCTCCTCCTCCTCCTCCTCCTCCTCCTCCTCCTCCTCCTCCTCCTCCTCCTCCTCCTCCTCCTCCTCCTGTCTCCCCTCCCCTGGGTGTTCGTTTTGCATGTCTTGGGGCCCTCTTTGGGCCGAAGCAAACCACGCGCCACCACGTCCCAAAGCCCAGGGGGGAACGCGGGAAGGCCCAGTAGATTTGAGAATCGGGGGTCGGGACCCCTGACTGAGGCTCCGGGGATTGGGCGAAGGCACGTGAGGACACGCCCACTCCGTGCCCAGCGGCACGGTGGCGGATGTGAATCCCGTGGAACCAACGGGACCGTCCTGGAGATGTCGGGGCCATTTTGGAGCCCCCAGGACGCCCCCAAAGAGCTCGGACCCACCCGACGCGTTCGGGGGGGGGTCGTCCCCGGCTCGGATGGGGGTGTCCACTTCGCAATTTGGGTTTTGGGGGATTCCAGTTTCGGGACGTCTCACCTACACGCAGACCCACGAGGGGCCTGCAGAGCCCATTGGCATTGACACACCGACGTGCCGAGGTGGATACGTTCTTGGAGAAGAACACGGACAAGTTGGGCGCAGACGTGGTGAATTTGTTCAAGGCGCCGTTCAGAAGTTGGTGGAAAGGGGGAAAGAGGCAGGCGGGGACGAGGAAGAGGTGGGTGGCAAGGGCGGAGAGAAACTGGGGGGAGGCGTAGCGAGCGATCTCAGCGTCTGTCCACAGGACTGATGTTACGTACCGCTGGGCCACTGGGGGGTGGCGAAGGATGAGGGAGCGCAGACGGGCAGAAGGCTGACCCGGACTTTTGGCGGCCGTGAGCACGAAACGGTGTCTGCTTCTTGTAGTATTTGGGCCTCTGGAGGGCAGCTGTGGGCTCCAGTATCTTCCAGAAGGGGCTCGGGATGAAACTGCCGTCTCGTTGTCGCGGTCGTGGCCGTGGTCGTGATCGTGGTCGTCGTCGTCGTCATCATTATCGTCGTTGTTATCGTCGTCGTCGTCGTCGTTGTCGTCGTCCTCGTCGTCGTCGGCGTCGTCGGTTTCGTTGTCGTCGGTTTCGTCGTCGGTTTCGTCGTCGTCGTCGTTGTCGGCTCCAGCCAGCCACGCGCAGAGGGGGGTAAGGGCCAGGGGAGGGGGGAAGGCCCGTAGGAGGAGGCTGGTTCTTGGAAGGCGCAGGCCTTCTAAGACGCGGCCTCCTGAGAAGCGGCGCGCGCGCCTTCTAAGAAGCGGCCTCCTTCCAGGAAGCGGCTTCCAAGAAGCTTCGTGCGCCTTCTAAGAAGCAGTTTCATTATAAGAAGTGCCTCCTAAGAAGCAAAATCCATCTAGGAAGGGTGCGTCCCGTCTAAGAAGCGACCCCCTCCTCAGAAGCCGCCCCCCCTCCCCCTGCCCCCCTCTGCGCGCCACCAATCCAGGGCAAGGGTCGGTGGCGCAAGGCGGACCCTACTCTCGCCGAACAACGACTTGGGCAACTCGACGGGCGGCGGGGGTAGGGTTCTGAATCCGCCGAGCACGTGGCGGAGTCCGAACCCACCCTCCGCCTCCCTGCGATTCAGGAGAATGGATGGTTGGTGGGGTCAGGATTCGGATGTCCCCACCTGCCCGTCCCCTGCATTCCATTGCCCCTCCCCCCTCCTGAGACTTCTGCTTTCCTTTTTCGCTTGCTCTGCCACCGCAGCAAAAGTTCCCCAGCCCCTCCCCCTCGCCCTTCAGCTCCTCCTCGTCCTGATCCGTTCTCTCTTGCATCTCCGCCCTCTCCCTCCTTCGCCTCCCCAACCTCTTGCGCCAGTCCTCCACCGTCGAGCTGCTGAAGACGATCTTCACCAACCCCCGTGTCGCTGGTGCGTCGGGGGAGGGATAGCACCCACCGCCCACCCAGAAGAGGATAAGGAGGAGGAGGAGGAGGAGGAGGAGGAGGAGGAGGAGGAGGAGGAGGGGTAGGAGGAATCGAAGGAGGAGTAGGAGGAGGAGGGTGAGGAGGCAGAGGAGGGCGTCATCGATCGTTCGACGTTAGAGGTGCGGTGCCGGGAGGTTGTCACCCGTGTCGCGTGCTGGAAGCCCGTCTCGGGCCTTGGGGCCGTGAACAGCCTATCTGGGGCAAAGAATTGACCGTGAAAGTGCATGTGATAGTTCTGTCCAGGTTGTGAGATCGCGTGTCAATTCGCGTGTCAGAGTCCCGCTTCGGGTGGCCCTCGAAGCTTGCGGCGCCCAGTCACGAGTCGCAGCGCAAGCCATTCGCGAGCGTAGACGTCGTTGACCAGGCTGTCTCCCTTGGTTTAGGGATAGTTTGCTACAGCGAGTCCAGAACATGCACCGATGTGGAAAAGAAGGACGGATGACATATGATGAGGACTGCACAACTAAGTCCCACCCACCCCCCAGGACCCCCACTCCTGACCTGGCGATCCAGGGGGTCATGGCTGGGCGTGTTTGTTCGGGAGGGGGGTTTTGGGGGACCGAAAAAACACCTGGATCATCCGGTCGGGTTTCTTTTCAGAAGCCGTCTTAAGCCGCCTGCGTCTTTGGGGAAGGCCATGGATATCCAGTCAAACCTGGAGAAGATCATGACAGCCCCCGGCGAGAGTCGGGGGACAGCAGAAGTGGTTGAGCCCTCCACCTGGGGCACCCGCGGGGGGGTCGAGTCTAACTCGCGCTTCGGGCGTCGCGATCTGGGCCAGAGCGACTACCCGTCTCCAGGGGGGCGGCGCGGGGGCGCGAGGGCGCGAAGATGATCGCGCATCGCGGGGCGCGATGCGCGTCGGTAGTGGGCCTGGCCCAGCCAACGACTCCTCGGCTCTCCCTGCGCAGGCCTCCTCATCTTCTTCTTCTCCTTCTGCTTTGCTCTCCTCCATGAAATAATGCAGTGCGGCCGTGGCTGCTGAAACGATGTGTAGCATCTTTCACACCCTGAGAGTCGGGCAAGGTCGAACTCTTACAATCAAGCAGCTGGTTGAGGCCAGGGCACGGTCAATCGCACGTCAGTCTGGCTATGCCGCGCTGCTCTTCCGTGGACAGTCGGTAGACATCTCTCCTCCCCCCTCCTCATGCAGCGTGGTCCCTCCTCCTCCTCCTCCTCCTCCTCCTCCTCCTTGGGCTAGTCGCTGTGCAAATACAGTCAACCCGCATAGTAATGATGGGCATCCTTCCCAAGGGGACGCTTGCATCCTTGCCTCCTCGGTTCATCCTTGGCCACTTTCGTTGGCCGCTCTCCGCTCGAAAAGCTTCGAAGTGGGCGTCCAAGGCCCTATCACCCTTACCGCGCATCTTCATGATAGGGGTCGACTGTGCAGCATGCTGTTCAGGCTTGTCGAGGTGCTTGGACGTCTTCAGTTCGCAAGTCGATTGCACGACCGACCGTGCCTCCGTAGCGTGCGCGTTCGGATAGCAAGCCTCGTGCGCGTCGGGCCTCCGGGCCAGCTTCCGCCCTCCTCCCCGCTCCGGGGCCCGCCTCCTGCGATCCGATTTGCTGCGAGTCGGCACGCTGGCTGGGACCGCGATTCCGATCCGATTCGATTCGGCTCGGTTCAGTGGCATCGGCCGAGGTCGACGGGGGCCGGGCCGTCGTCCATGCGATCCGTTCGATTCGGGACGAGCCGTTGTCGATGCGATCTATTTCCGACCGTACCCGACTCTGCGGTTCACCCAAACGCGGCTGTGACCTCTCCGTGTGGTGAGTCGGTGGGAATTCGGGGTCACCGCACGGTTTTGAGACTTGAGTCTTGAGGGCGTCTCGGGCGACTGGGGCCTCCAGGGTCCCAAAATCGCTCGGCGACGCACCCTGCGGTGAGGTCTTCGGGGATTTCGAGGTCACCGCCGGGTCTGTCACCACACGGTTCTGGGACCCCCGACCTTCGGGTCGGGCGAAAGGGGGGGATTGGGAAAGGGGGGGTTACGAAATTTGCTGCATGCAGCTGGTTTCGGCCTCACCGAGGGGCCCATTCCTCGATACATAGCCGCCTCCGGCGCCGGGAGGCGCCGGGAAAATCAGCTACGTGAGCTGATTCTCAAACCCCCCCCTTTGCTATCCCCCCCTTTCGCCCGACCCGAGACCTCTGCTTGCGCCCTGGCGCCCACCCGCTGCAGCCGCGTAGATGTCCCCCGCTCGGGTCTGTCTCCGCCGTGGGCTCTTCCCAGCCAGGCGCGGGCTCCGCCCAGGAGCGGCCCGTCCTCCCACGACGAGCTGGATGAGCTCGACGACGACGAGCTCGACGAGCTCGACGATGACGACGACGACGACGACGACGACGACGACGACGACGAGCTCGACGAGCTCGACGACGAGCTCGACGACGACCGAGTGCTGCCCAGGCGCGGGCTCCGCCGTGGAGCCCAAGGCCGCCGCGGGCAGCGAGCGCAGCCGCACGCCCACGGGCCGCGCGGGCGGCGCCGCGCGACGGACCTCTCGGGGCGGCCCCGGCCCGCGCCCTCTGCGTTGACGTCGGGGGCCTTGAGACGGGGGTCAATGCAAACGGAGGTCAGCCAGGGCACTAGGTCCTGCAGGATCCTGCGGAGGCCCCCTCTGGCTGACCCGGGTTAGGGAGCCGCTCGTGGCCGCGAGGCGGCCGCGCCTATTGGCTGACCCGGGTTTGCGAAGCCCTGCGCTGCAGTTTTTTTTCTGCATTGCAGTTTTTGGTTTCCTGCTGACCACGGTCTGGATTGACCCGGGTCAGAAGATCCCCGATGACGTCGGGCGTGTCCCTCGACAGGGGCAACTGTCAAGGATAGTCTAAAAGTAGTCTGGGGACGACTTTTGCGAATATATGCATTCTGTTTTGAGCACGCCTTGACTTCTTGGTATTTCTCTGAGGCAGGGCTGGACCTAAACGGTGTTTGGGCGATTTCGTGGGCCGTCTTCGTTCCGACCTCGTTTTGCGGCAAATGCGAATCGAAGACAAAACGAGGGAAAACGAAGACAAAGCGAAAAACGAAAAAAACCGTTCCGGTTCAGCCTGTAGGAGGACGATGTTTCGAACATGTGTTTTGTTATTTTGATAATGTTTCAATTGTTTAATGGTTCTCTGGAGATCCGCCTGTAGGAGGACAGGGGGCATTGTCAAGGATAGTCCAAAGATAGTCTGGGCACGACTTCTCTAAGATTTTAATTCTATTTGGAGCACGCTTTGACCGTTTGATGTTCCTTTGAAGACCCGCCTGTGCGCCCGCGGCCTGCGCCGTCGGCCCTCGGCGGCCCTGGGCGGCCGCGCCCGGCTGCCGTCGTCGCTCGCCGTCGCCCGCCGCCGCCGCTCGCCATCGCCGCCGCCGCCGCTCGCCCGCTTGCTCGTCGCTCGATCGCTCGCTCGCTCGCTGGTTGCTTGCCGCCGTCGTCGGCGCCCGGCGCTCGCTCCGCCGCCGCTCGCTCGCTCGCTCGCTCGCTCGTCGTCGCTCGTCGCCCGTCGTGGCGAGCAGCGCCGCCTCCAGAGGCCCCCCCCACCTGCTCTGTCCGTCTGCTGCGCCGTCGTCGCCCCGGGAGCTCGAGGAGCAGACCATCGTCTTCCGGAGCTCCGCACCGGCTTCTCGGGATCGCCGCGGGCCCCCGCCTCCCCGGCGCGCGGAAGCGCCAGGGGCGCGGCGCCAGGATGCTCCAGCGCCGATCCGAGAGATCCGAGTCAGGCCTCCGAGAGCTTGCGGTCATGCCAATCATCCGTTCCCCGACGGACAACATCCGCCTGAGAAGAGAAAGCGCCATGATAGACAGAAGCTTTTGGCGCTCCGCGCGAAATTCCTGGATCTGCGCG